TATATATATTATATAAAATACATAGGTTACGATGTATCGCCTGTTAAATAAATATGAAGATAGATAGATGGATAAACAGGATTGACAGAGATTGATAGAGTGAGAGAAAGAGAGAGAGAGAGAGTGAGAGAGAGAGAGAGAGAGTTATAGGACCACCTGTGAAGTGAGTAGGTTTTGCAAAGGAGTGGGGTGTGTGGGGTGGGTGGGGAGGGTGGGGTTGTGGGGTGTGTGTGGGGTGGGTGGGGTTGGGATGGACTTTAGGTTACAAAAATGATCTCTAAATGTGATAGATCAGATCTATCTCTCATTGTTTACCCTTCCTTTTGGGCCACACGCATCTTACTGGAGAAGAAACTCTATCAATCTCTGTCAATCCTGTTTATCCATCTATCTATCTTCATATTTATTTAACAGGCGATACATCGTAACTATGTATTATATAATATATATATATGTATATGTATATATATACATATGTATGTATATATATATATGTATATATATACACACACGTGCACGTACTAGTCGTTGTTTGATGGCGTCTGAATCTACAGGGCTTCCTAGCTTAGCGTGTAGCGTCAGCTGCAGGCCATGATGCTGCACGAGCAATGCATGTAACTCCTTCTCCAGTATGCTGCGTGTCGCTCGCAGCCCGCATGCCTCCTTCCTCTGATACACCACCTCTTGCTGCAACAAAGGAAGGGTAGGCCATGAGAGAGGAAGCAAGAGAGAGGAGGGGAGAAGAGAGGGGCATGTAACTCCTTCTCTAGGATGCTGCGTGTCGCTCGCAGCCCGCACGCCTCCTTCCTCTGATACACCACCTCTTGCTGCAACAAAGGAAGGGTAGGCCATAATAGAGGAAGCAAGAGAGAGGAAGGAGAGGAAGGGGAGAGGAGGGGAGAGAGAAGCGGAGAAAGAGGAGGGGAGAGGGGAGGGCGGGTAGCGAGAGAAAGAGAGAGCGAGGGAGAGAGAGAGAGAGAGAGAGAGAGAGAGAGAGAGAGAGAGAGAGAGAGAGAGAGAGAGAGAGAGAGAGAGAGAGAGAGAGAGAGAGAGAGAGAGAGAGAGAGAGAGAGAGNATACACCCCTGAGATCTCCACAATAACATATAGTGATGGATTGTGCCTCGCACGTGTGTGTGTTTAAAAATCTCCCCCCCCCCGCCGCATATGATGCGAATTCGGCGCGCACCGCGTGCTAGCTGGTTTACGCATATATAGGTTTACGTGAACATATGGAACGTGCGTTTAGCTCAGCGCCGTCGATAGTAACTCATATTACATTTCTCATCATTTAACATTTACATGAAGGTGTTCCTGTATCGCCTAACACACTCTTCTTACCGTTCGTGTCATGGCGGCGATTCTCTGTTTTAATCATTTCATCTTTATTTGCGAGGATTGCGTCACACAGTCTCTGATTGTATCTAACGTCAGCTGTGGCGGGTTCCATCCGCAGTGCTTATCACTTATTTGAAATATCATTTTATATGACACGCGTTGACTCCGTTGACACAAGTGAAATTAGATAAGGAGCCAAAATTGCAACGTGGAACAAGCAGCAGCAGCTGTCCCGCTTCACACGAATTACCTATTTAAACCGATCGCCGCCGAACGTAGCCTTCATATCGATAGTCATGTGTATTCTTCTGATTTTCGCTGTTATCCTGCTAGCGGGAGGTGCGAGCGCTGGTAGCGACTGCCCCTCCGCCTCCAGCCTGTATCCTTGCACCTGCTCAGAAGGTAGTACTGGCGCGCAGATCACCTGCGATGTTAGCTTACTACCTGGAGACGGTTCGCAAGTGTTTGACATCATCGCTAGGATTCCACGACCGACGACGATCTACGATTTCACAATAAAAAACTTTGGCTTTGAGAAGATACCCGGTAGAGCGTTCGCCGGCTTAACCATCGATAGTGTGTATCTGATGTACGGAGAAAAGCTTACCACTATACACGCAGACGCGTTCGCTGGAATCGGAGGGCTTCGTTCCTTATACGTAGAGGAGACGGCGTTGTCCGCAATACCATGCCAGATTTTCCCAACTATGCCAGACTTGGGTATGTTTTCTGTTTTCTTCCGCCTATGCCAGGCTTGAGTATATTTGTATCCGTCTATGCCAGACTTTTACGCTTTCATGGTGTCATGAGCATTCGCACTGCGCTCGATTCTTATTTGCCGTCCTCCGTTTGTTTTCAGAGCTTCTGTTTATAAGATACAGCTCCCTTGAGAAATTAGACGACGGTTGCTTGATAGATGCTAGCAATCTGTCTCAGCTAGTTTTGGACAATAACGTGATTTTCTACATCTCCCCTCAGGCGCTGCGAGGTCTGAAGAAACTCAAGGTAAATCCTATCCCTAAGATCCTGCTGTGGATATACCCGGTAGAGACAGTGGATATCTATATCCCATATACATACATGTGCGT